TATCATAAAGACTAAATAATGTAGTTATTTTAATGTACTTTAATTACATTAACTAACTATTTTACATAATTACCCGTAGATTATACTGTAAATAAGAATTTTCTGCTTGATTTTGTTTCTTATGATATACAATTAAAATATAGTTTAATACTCAAAATGGTTGATTAGTGTTGTGAATATGATTGTATAGAATGTACTGTACAGTACATGTCAACATTTTCACTTTAGTATATGAATGTACTAAGAATGTTTGATATACTAGTCTCTGCTTGAATAATTTTTTGTCACTATATTTACATCAGTTTGATGTTTTGTGTATATATTAAAAATATGATTATTTAACTTGTTAATATTTATACAACACATATTTATAAAAAGATATGCGCAGATTAGTATCTCTAACCTGGCACATGTATTTCTGTAGCTGAAGCTTTTCATATTAAATATTGTTTAGATTATGGTAAATGCTTAAAATGATATCTCTATGACTAAAGTTTTCCATACAAAATTGAAATTAATAGTAATAATAATATAAAATTATATTTCATTGTGTTTTTATAAATAATTATAATTTTTACAGTAAAATTTAAAACAGTATAGTATGTTACAATATTAAATACATTTTATTATTAGCAAAATTAAAATAAAAAATAATTATAATGTAGTAACTTTATGTTCATATAATCCTTAAGGAATTGTTTAATTATTAATTTCTGTATCTATAAGAATTATTTTAAACTAGATATACTTTTCATGAATACATCTCATTTAAAGTAGCGGATATGATGATCTTGGTTGACACTTTTAAAGTAATTAATTGTAATCTATTCAAATTTGCTTTTCACAGAGAAAAATTCTTAAATTCTTTCAGTCTAAGCATTATCATTTGGAATCAAAAGAGGAATAATGATTGAGAGAAATTGTCAAATTGAAAGCATCAGAATTTTTTAAAACAGTTTTCTGCTTAAGTTGCTGAAAGCATTTTGACTTAGATTTATATTTATGGCACTTCTTTAAGAAGTGTGTTAATTAAATTATATTTCAATTGTTTTGTGTTTCATTGGATTGTAAATGTTTGTTGATTGATAAATTGATATACAGGAAATCCTCGTTAATTTGAACTCAGATAGTTTGAAATCTGGTTAGTTCATAACTGTACTTTTGTTCTAGCCGGGGATATAGAAATTTACATGTTAAGGAATTCAGTTGGTTTGAAATACAGCTACTTCAAAATTTGAAGTGATAATTCTATCTGAACTGTGCATATGTTAGCTTGTTAATTTAGATTGAAGTGCCTCCATGCTATAAGAGAACAATAGACCAAAAACAACTGATCTGGTCAATATGGCTTTACTTTTACATTAACACATTTTTGGGTGTCACCTTACCATGGACTACTATTATTTCTCTTATCTCATAAAATAAGGCTGGTTTCAGGATTGCAAGATTGGGCTATAAGTGGCAGATATTTAAGAGCTCTAGGCTACTACTTTTGGGTGACTTCCTACTTTTTTGGCCACTTTAAAAATAATTTGGGCTACATTTCGAGGAATTCTGCTTTACTTTTTATAAAACCTATTTCGCAACCTATTGGACACATGCTGTTTACCTGCAGTTTATTCACATTATTATTAGTTATTAATTAATGAAAATGACATTTTGTATATGTAGCCATATTCCATTTCCTTAATAACTTACATCAATTACATGACATTTAGCATATTGTACAGAAATGTGCAAATCTCAGATAATTCGAAATTTGATAATTTGAAGTCTCAATTATTTCTTCTCTTGAATTTCGAACTAACGAGGATTTCCTGTATTTTTTTTATTTGAATAGCATTTCAAATAAAGAAAAATATTTATAGAATTAATTGTATAGAAAATCTTATTTTCATAAGTTTATAGAGTTTTATGAATTGTGTAATTATTTTTTAAGTTGAGCAGATGAACATTTTTCATTTTTTTTTAAAATAAATCATAACCCTTTACTTTGTAACATATATTTCTTGATTCTAAGATGCATATTTGTTTACATTTTAACGTCTGAAGTCATTGACATCTTGCGTTCAATGTCAAAAACATCTGCAGAATAGTTGTCATTACTTACATTTCTTACATTAGAGCTAATTATGTCATGTCTGCTTATTTTGTTTTTATTTCATTTATAACACTGTAGGTATGAAATTAATAATACTATTAATTTTATATAGTTTTAAACTTCATATTAGATGTTTATCATGTATTTTATTACGCAAAAACCACAACAGGTGCAGAGATCATGGTAGCATTGTTGGATAGAGCAAGTCTTCATCTACTAACCTCTTTTTTCTACTAGTGATCATCATTGGCAATGAATATTTTCCAGCAATGAATGAGGACATGCATGCCAAGCACACAAAAATCTGCACCAGCAAAACTTAGCCACTTTTTCACAGCTGTGATGACAGCACTATTGTCAGGAAAATATGTTTGGCATAGTCCATCTTTCATTGACTAAACCATGGAAATCCAAAGGTGCCAATTCTGGACTATACAGCAAATGTGGAAGGATAGTCCAGCCTAACTTTGCAATGTATGCAGTGATCTTGAAACTGGTGTGGAACCTGGTGTTGTCAAGTTGCAAGCAAAACATTGTCATCCATGGTCTGACTGGAAATTTGGTTCTTCAGTTTCATCAACATCTTGATGTAGCGGTCAGAGTTGATTGTCTGACTTCCAGAAAATTCAGCAAAATTATGCTGTTCAGTTTATAGTAATAATACAATGTGTTGTGTTAATCGTTTATGCAATGATATTAATATATATATATATATATATATATATATATCTCAAG